GACAGCAGTTGGGGAGGGGGAACTGACGTTGTTTTTAAGGAGGAACTTTAGATTCTAATTCAACCGCAAATTGTATTTTTTCTAATGGTAACACTTTCCTTCCGTACAGGGTTATCCTTACACAAGAGATCGCATAGTAAGAGAAGCGAGAATAGACATTCCCCCTTTGCTTAGAGGCAAGATATGGGCAGCATTGCTAGGAGTTCAGGTGAGACAAATTTGCCTTTTTATTTATTAACCAGGCAGCGTTAAGGGAGGCCAGCTTTCGAAGACAAAAGGACTGTGTCGTTTGATGGAGTTGTTCATTTCCTGTTCTGTTTTGATTTGTTCACAATCTGTGAATCTGTCGAATGGAAGGAAGCATGATAAGATTCTTTGCAGCAGTTGGATAGTCATGCAAGGGTTCACACCAGAAGAGCATTGCGTGACGACACAATTAAACCAATCAGAGATGAGATAGGATGTAAGCCATACGCTCAGCCAATCAAAAGTGATTTGTGCGCCCGCTTTGTCTACTTTTTTGCATTTTGTTTTATTCTCAAACCTCTTCGCTTTTTTATCTCGTGGTATTCTCATCAGGGGGACATCCAAGGTACATACGACGCAATAGACAAGGAATCGTTTACTCAGACGGACAGACAGGTGAGAACAATCTAAACTAGCCTGCTTGGCTCCAATTCTCTGCAATATTTTACCGTCACGACCCGAGCCACGAGGAGAATGGGGAGAGGCGGGAGAAATGACAGTTTACTTTTCGCGCCTCTCCTCATTCTTCTCGCGGCTGCCGCTCGAGTTGTCAGTTCTCCCCAGTAACCCGCCACTGATTTAGCATCGTTACCAGGAAACAGTATCAGCCCTAAAATATTAATATTCTTGTTTTGGACTTTTATTTGCGTATTGGAACTTCCAAACACCAAGACTATCCATGTTATCAAAATCGAATAAAACTTTATCTTACTCCGGCCTAATGCAGCTCTAAAATATCGCTTTCTTTTCTTTTTTCAAAGATCGAAGTTGACATTCCTCGCTGTCACCAGTATGATGAACTGCTGTCTTCACCAGTCGCTCATCAGAAGTTCAAGAGGATTCTCAAGGCCTGGGTTGTACGTCACACTGACCTGGTCTACTGGCAAGGTAATCAATCAGTCATCTGGCGAAGAACGGGACACAGTTAATACCACATACCGAAACATTCGCTAAAAAGCCGTTGCGGAAATACCTCCGGAAAATATTTCCACCCCCTGTACCAAAAAAATCTCGAAAGCTAAAATCCTTCCAATAAGACTTTTAGATCCTTGGAGATTTTTAGATCCACTCTCTCTCTCTCTCTCTCTCTTCTCCCTCGTCGACTTTAAGCCCGGCTTATACTCAGACTTAAGCTTTGTTGTTTATTTTTTGTCTTTCCTCAGGACTGGATTCTCTCTGCGCCCCTTTCCTTTCTCTTCATTTTAACGATGAAGGTAAGAAGTCTATTCAGCTTAACACCCAAGGGCAAAACGGTTACTAATGTATGACATATCATTTTTGTAGCTCTTGGTTACGCTTGTCTGGCGGCGTTTATTCCCAAATACCTGTACCACTTTTTTCTGAAGGATAATTCGGCAATCATACAAGGTGTGTTGCCTTTTGTTATTTTTGAGTCTTTGTGACCGTTAAATGCGTTGTGTTAATAGTTGACACTTTAATAAAGTCTTTCATTCATTCATTCAGTCAGTTTTCCAAGTGATTTGTTTTCTTTCATTTTCAATGTAGAATATTTGGCGGTATTCTCTCAGTTGATCGCCTTTCATGATCCAGAGTTGTTCAACCATCTTCATGACACTGGATTTATTCCAGAGGTATGATCTGATTCTCTTAGCATCTGATCAACAAAATGAAGCTGGACTGAGCTTATCAGATGTATCAACGTCGTTGCAATGAAAATGATATTTAATAATCAGTGGCACAAACTTCTCGGAAAAATTTCCGAGCTCTTCCAAACGAGAAAATCTGAAAGAGCCCATGACCCTCCACAAACACAAAACGACGGGCAAAACGTTGCAGCTTTTACCGTTCTAGGAGACCGAGGTACAATCAGTAGAAATGAAACAAAGTAAACCAAGCAGCAAATTGGTGCTTTGAGAGTTTTCGCCGACTGTAAGCTTTGACCACGTTTGTTTTTGTTTTTGTTTTTGTTTTGTTTTGTTTTTTGGCCGCGTTGATTTTGCTGCTCAGTCCCCTCCCGACTAACTGCTACTGGTTCTTCAAAGATAAGGTTCGACGGCTGTGGCAGAACCCGGAGTTTTTCCTTTCTTACAGTTTCCTGCAGAGTCCTGACTGTTGAACACCTTAATTTGTTTCTTAATTTTATACTATTGCAAATTTTAGATACCAGGGTACGCCATTACTATTTAAACCACGTGTGACACGCTGTCGTTTGGTTCTCCCAACAGCTGTACGCAATCCCATGGTTCCTCACGATGTTCTGTCGTAAGTATCCATCTTCGACTTATGATGTTCCGGATATTACTATATGAGTAGAATATTACTTCATTGTGATTGGCTGAGAACAGGAAAATTTATCGTTAATTTTTAATTTGCACTGCAGTGCAAATTAACGCGCGCTACTCGTGATATTTGGAAATTCTTTCTAATCGAACTCGCCTAAAGGCTCGCGCAATTTTGAGAGAATTTTCAAACTTCACCTGTAGTGTAAATCCTTAATAGCACTCACATTCATACGATTTCCTATACTAACTTGACTTCTACTCCTCTTTCCTTGGCCACTTGTTGACTCTGTTCCATTGTCTTTCTCGAAGGTTTTCAGTCTTTCATATTTTTCGACGTGGGAAGCACGCTGGCCGAATGCGTAGCGCGTTCAACGGTCTGAGTTTGAGCTCTGATTGAGGTCACTGTGTTGTGGTCTTGGGCAAGACAAGTTACTCTTACAGTGCCTCTCTTCACATTAGAGTTTAAATGGCCACCTGGCATAACGCTTAAGGGTAACCTGATTTGTACTAGCATTATGGAGTTTCAAAGTAACCATGACAGCGACGGCGGGGATAACGTCGATTAAAAAATGATTTTATATTTTACCTGCGAATCTCGCGATACTCTTAAATCATTTACTTTGTTTATCACTGTCAGAACATCACGATACTGATTCTGGGACGCAGCTAAAAAATATGAAATAAAAATTTAAAACATTAGCCGTCGTGGTTCACGTTCTCAAGAAAATGCAGAACTCGGTCATTTCACGTTGTTGTTTTGCAGAGGACGGCAAAGAGATGTGCCAAGAATTATAACGCACGTGCACAGCTATTGTTCTCCTCATTAAGGGCCCATTAACCGATTCATGCGCGCGCTCGCGCGCGTTGCTAAGGAGGTGAAATTTCACTTCCGGCTACTTACGTCAGCCTGAGCGCGGAGAATAATAGCAACTCAAAAGCTTGCAAATTCGCTTACATTTTAGATGTTTTTCTTTGTGTTTCACAAAATGCAAAGTAAAAAAAAAGTACAACCAAAGACAAAATAAGAGAAAGACAGAAAAACAAGAGCAATAGAAAGAGAAAAACTAACTCCGCGTGGCTTTGTTTGATCTACCGAAGTGCGCTGGTAGTGTAAATTGCGCACGCGCTGATAGGGTGACTTCCAATAGATATCGGGCGCACTTCCGGTTTCTTTAACTGCTAAAGGAAACGCGATTTTTCATTAAATCGAGCCTTTTTTGACGAATTTCGATTAAAGCCAACTTTGGAAACATAGATATGCATTCCTTTTTCGAAATCATGCTTTTTTCAGAAAATTACGAATTTTTCAATATTTTGAAATGCTCTCAAAATCTGATCTTGTAGAAATGAAACAAAATCGATGCATAGCGTATTGAGGTTTTAAATTAAAATATTAAATCAATGGAAAAATCCCGATAAAGTAATTTGCCTGGAAGCCTTTGCATTTTTTCTGTATTAGCCACATGACCATGGGCCTGGCCTGATGACGTCATCACTAGTGCTACTGATCATGAAAAGCTAAAACACATGAAATAACTCTGAACTAACTAAAAATGATGAGGTTATATGGGAATAAATTTTCCTTAGCAACGGCTCGAAAAGATCGGTTAATGGGCCCTTAAACCTTTTGTTTAGCGACGCTCCTGTTGCCGTTGCGGTCGTGGTTTTCTTAAACTCCCTATTTTAACCAGGGAGGGAAAGGCGGGGAAGCAACTCTTAAAGTAGTTTCAGGCTACATAAGAGTTAAGCACTTCCTCCTCTAACCTGATGATTATACTAAGTGCTTGTTTGACTAATTTCTATTTCCTTTTCAGACGTCTTTCCACTGAAAAAGATTTTTCACCTTTGGGACAGTTTGTTGCTTGGCAACTCATCCTACCCACTGTGCATCGGGGTCGCTATACTGGAACAGCTTCGGGATCAGCTACTGTCGTTTGGTTTTAACGAGTGCATCCTTCTCTTCTCAGACATGCCAGGTACGTGCTTGAATTGGATGAAAGAGAGTCTAATTCCAAAATTTCTTAATTCGCGGAGTGGCTAAGTGATTACGAGGACGCAGAAATTAAAATCTGAAGATTGCCGGTTCAAGTCCTCCATTCTACCTGTGGCTTGATTTGGTCTTAGTATTTGGGAGTCCAACTCTGAGCCCGCTGGTCAGCGTCTCACCAATCCAAAGATGGCGACTGGTACCTTTACCCATACCTCTTAGCGCACAAAAAGTTTTACAACGCTCACAAAAAAAGTATAGAAAAGGTCTAACATCTTCAAACCTAGAATGTACAATGCTGTTAGCACAGGGACAAATAATAATAAAAAAAAAATCACTTATTTGTATTTTGAGCAATTAGCATCGACTATGGGTCATTGTGATTTCTCCTGTTCTTTAGGTGTAGACATCGACCGAGTGGTGCGCGATGCCAAGAGAATTTTCTGTAACACTCCTCGGACTGCTTCGATGAGGAGACATGATAGGCTGTTTGCTGATCCCAACGTAAAACATGTAAGCTAAAATCACCTTCCTCTCTTTCATCGAGAGAAGTTTGCTATGTGTCGAGCAAGAACATAGCACTGTATTACCTGGCTCTGTGTACCCATTGCGTGGCTGCGAAACTAATTATTGCATTCAATAATTTCTTGCCGGCGTATGTTTTCTCGGTAAGTCTCGCTGTCTTTCTTTTATTTTAACTGACGGTCAAATCAAAGAGCACCTGAAAGTTGCCAAAAAATGTCAAAATGAAATTCTAAAAAACTTGACAAGTGTCAACTGCATTGGCGCACAACTGTAAACTTTTTGCGAAATTTGAACGAAGCTACAATAGCTGTCCTCTTGGAAAGGAGAGAGAAAAGTATTTTGTTTTTGACAGCGCACTAGAGATCTTAGTATCATTTTACTTATCGGTCATAACATTTCAATACTGTTGAAAAACAATTTGAAATGGTTCAATTAACTAGAACACCCAGAAATACTTGGCAAATAGTCTTTGCAACGTGCAAGGTGAGCAGGGATGGCGCAGTGGCGAGAGCGCTCGCGTCCCGCCAGTGTGGCCTGGGTTCGATTCCGGCCTGGTGCCAGAATGAAAACCAGCTAGGGCTGATGTGGCTTTCTCTCTATATGTCGTAAATTATTCTATTTTGTTTTATTTTTGTATCTAGTAGATGACCTTTCCTACAAACTTGAAATCCTATCAACTATTATAGACAAATATCTTCAATATATGAAATGATGTCTTGACAACCGAAATGCGCTAAGATCTGTGTTTCCATCCTGCTAGGAAAAGGAGTTCATAACGTTACCCCAACTCAAGGGTGAAATCTGTCCACGAGTTTCTGCTCAAGACTTGTTACATATCTGTGAACTGAACGATAACGGAGGCGCGAAAGTCCAAAGAAAAACCAAACCGCGTGGTCTTGTTGTGGATGTCAGGCCCTCTGAAGAGTATCCTTTTGGTTTAACTTAGTTCACCAACAGTTGACATTAGAGGTTTAGTTTTGAGGAGGTTGTAATTGGTTTCCGCAGTTCATAGCACATGCGAAAGGAACGAAAGATTGGCGTTTTCTGGTTACAAAAATCAAAATGTTCAAATATTCTTTATAGTGGTCAGTGCGCTTAGCTACACCGAGCTAGTTCACAGGCATGCCACTTAATTGAAAGAAACAAGTATTGGCGCAAATTAGTTCCAATAATGGGAACACATTATGAATATCCGTATGTGGTTTTTGTAAAAGCTATGCCTTAATAGGCCATTTCTAAGTTTCCTTGTGCCTCTGTTTCAAAACGAGTCCTCGTTGAAAACCTTTCATATGGAGATGAGTTTGATTTACATGGAAATGAACCTCCAGGCGGAACACAATTTCATATGAATGGTTTCGCACTGAGACTCGTTTTGACACAGAGGCAAAAGCCAACTCGGAAATGAGCTATTTGATATCATGACGTCATAGTTGTTTCCATTCTAACAAGTGTCCGTCATATTCTTTGAAAAATCGGGGTGTTTTCCAAATTATTTGTCATGTTTTGCGTTTTTCAAACCTTGCAATATTCTTTACTATCTCTGTGAATTTCAGAAGTAATATACTGTAGAATTACATTAAAAAAAGATTACAAGAATTCTTCTACAATCGCTTTCTGTTTAATTTTTTGGTCCTACACGAAAAAAGTCGCGCTGCAGGTCACCAATTTGTTTCCACTTCCAAAGCAACAGAAGGGCTCACTAATGTAGAACTTATTTTTTACTCAAAACACTTCGTGTGTGTTCCTTGATTCATTGTGTTTTCAAAGATTCGCGTGTGGTCAAATCCTAGAGAGTGTGAACATTCCCTATAATCAGGCGTTTCTTGAAGAAGGCGGATTAGCTCCTTCAACTGCCGCAAACACAGTGATTAGCTTCAAAGGAAGAGTTATTGTTGTCGTAGGAAATCGCAATAACTACCCGGCTAAGGTAGGGAAAAGGCTACTTCAATGTACAGCGAAGTATATCATCTGTTTTTATACTATTCCTTCCTTCGTAACTTTTTACTGGCACAATGGATGTGTTTGCGAAGCATTGTGTGAACAACAACCACACAAGTTTATTAACCAATCCGCATTCCTGGTATTAACCAATCACAGCTCACTTCGATCGTACACGCCTGCGTTTGTTTGGCATGGAAAGCAATTCTTATTTCGGAGTGTCGTTTTGACATATTTCAGATTTCTCGAGGTCGGCAATTAGCGAAAAATTATCCGTTGACTAAATAATCAGAGGATACTCTTTCTTTGCTCAGAATAACGTAATTGGCTTGAGGAAATCTAACCTTGCATATTACCAATTAATTGAAGAATTTGCTATATGTCTTTATATGATTCTCAGTTTATTTACCCGCTTCTTCATAGGTTGGAGCCGAGCTGGTCAAGCTAGGTTTCTCGAGAGTGTGTGTTTTGGAAGAACCAGGCCTGACCGCACTTCGCACGCAAGGAAACCTGACTGTACCGACCTGAATGCGCCTGGGAATGACCACATCACAAAGCGTTAATTAAAAACAGTCTGGGAATTCTGGGAACAAGTTCCGTGTGTGGAAAATTTCTGTAGAGGCACTCGATTACGTGACGATTCTTATTACGCAGTTAAAATACAGTTCGAGCACTCACGAGTATTCTGAAAATTTTTACGTCAGCATAATTCACGTCAGCATACTTCACGTCAGCATGACATCATAAGGCTATACGTCATGTTGCTGGGCAACTACTTCACCGAACACTACGGGCTCAGAAATCGGAGACGTAAAATTTTCTCAGAGAAGAAACTGTAAAGCAATCTACTTAACCATGTAAGCATTAGGAAACGAAATCTATCTCCAAATTGTCAATTTCATTGTAAAAAAAATGATTACATATAATTATTAGAGTCCGAAAATGTCGCGGATTTTTATCAATAAATTTTTCTTAAAAAATGTAAAATCTGGAGTGTTCCTGTTTTTTTTGTTTTGTTTTGTTTTGCTATCTTGTTGCTGTTGTTGTTGTTGTTGTCTTTTTTTTAATTTTTCTTACCCTGGAATATTTCTTGAGGAAATAGTCGTGGATTTCTAGCAGAAAGTACCAAAGCAGCATATGATTTGAATCAAAGAAATCTTTACTTTCTGGGAAAGGACTTGTCGTTTTCGATCTTTTATTCTTTAAAAAAAGACTTGTGCGCTGCTGTTTTGTCACCTACAGAGCCGAATTTGTTTTTTTTGTTTGTTTGTTTGTTTTTTTGCGTAGAGGACTGAGGCTGCTGAACAGGTGACTGACTGAGCAGAAGAAAACAGAAAACTGGTATTGCCGAACGAGCAAAACAGAAATCTTCTCACATATTTCCTGCGACCATTTCTAAAACAAGATGTTTGCGTAATCGTGCGATTTACTGAATTACCAGGAGAGGGATTTACAAATGAATCGGTTGCCCCACTGCGGATCCGATGTAATGTATTTGACCACAGGGTAAGAGAAATTTAGGGCGGACTTGCGGGAGGTCCGTGATACAGAATCGTTCCCACAGTACATTCACAGCTTTTCAAGTTGTAAAGTCGAAAAACTGATTTTTCCCACTTCATATCCCGAAAAAAGAAATAAAGAACCAAGTTTCCTTTCGATTTATTGCCTCGTTTTTGAGTTGCTACGACTTAACCGGACTTGGGAAGAGGAGCCAAAAGTCGGTTCAATAAGTTATGATTTTTGTACGTTTCCTGCGATGCTGATTGACAGCTAATTAAAGTACTTGTCCCTGATTGGCTGTTTGCGCGTTACAGGCACTGAGTTGGCTCGAAAATCGGGTTTGAAAATAATCAGTGAAAGGCAAAGACTAAGCCGAGAGGGTTTGGCATTTCAACTACAGTTACTTCGTGTCCAAATGCATGAAATTGGGCCAGAGTCTTAAAAGATTTTTTGTCTCAAATGTCAAAGGAGTTTTCCAAAGATATTTTTAGTGACCCACAAAACTTCAATGAACTTGGCAAAGAATTTCCCTTCGCTTCGGTAATAGTCTTCGGCTGAAGCAAATGCCATTTCATGGGCTTTGTTCAATTCATACTTTCCACGAGTTTTCAAGAAGAACTGCTAAGATGAACAAGATTACAAATGCTATTATTTACACGCTGAGTATGTATGGAATTAGACGAATGTCCACACAGCATGCACCAATCGCGCCTTTCGAGGTGAGTTCAGTTTTTGTGGAATTTTTAAAAACTTTTATTGCGGGCTGAATTGCGTTTGATGTAGATTATCCTTAGTACAGGACAGCTTTCTTCATACCTTATGTAAGTTGCAGAGGTGCATTAAAGAGACAGTTGCTTTATGCTTGTGTCAAGACGTTCATGCAGGATTTGAACAAAATTGTAAGCTTATTTCATCTGATCTTCAGCAAATTTATTCGTACCAATTTTCCACTCATTCTTCGCATCTAAATAACAGTTGCTATTTGTTGATTTTGTCACTTTTAGATATGTTCAAACCATTTTCACAGAGAGCTTAAAATTCACACTAAATGATGACGTAAAATCTACGTTTTAAGGAAACTGAGTACTAGATTTCTGTGCGCGAGCAATCGAGCAAGTATGGCTGTTTATGACGAAACGATCGAAGACCGTTTCCATGGTTTTGAAACAAAACTCGATCATTTGCTTCAGCTATCGGTGCGGTCAGCATTGAGATTCGGAGCAAGAGAATTGTGATATTTTTCACAGTGAAATCGAAGAGAAAATTTACAAAACGGAACAAAACCAAACAACAAAGAACGGGAAAAGTTTGGAGAAAGTTGTCGTTCAAACACGGCGTCGAAAACCAGTTTAAACGCTATGGCTTCGTGCCAGCTTAGTAGCGAGATTGAAGGTGCCAAGAATTGCCTTTCCCCAGTTCAACAAAAATCCAGAATACCCGTCCGCAGAGTAAATCTTTTGAACAACAACAGCGGAAAAAGTTCCTCGTCTAAAGACGAAGTTAATAAGAAGCAGCGCATTCTGAGGAATCGCCTGGAAAAAAATCAAAACAAGCCGCCATCCCGGATTCCGATTCCCATCGGTCGAACGAACAGCAAGGATGCTGGCAGGGATAAAACCCCCAAGACTGTGTTAACTGCAACTGGAAAAAGACCATTGGGAACAATCTCAAGTACTGTGAACATGTTTATTGTATTTGAAGCTTTTAGTTTAAGTTTTAAGCGACAAAAGTGCTGGCCGAATTAGACTTTTGTGGTACGTAAACTCCAGAACGTAGTTTGCCACTGACCTTCTTGACCTTTTTTACACGTAATGTTCCAATTCGGTTGCTGATAGTGGTTGTTTTAGACAGGACACTTTTAATTGTGAAAGTTTTTGACTAACAGCAAATAAAAATAAGGAATAAACTTCAGTTGAAACCGGAAAACTGCGGGCGAGGAAGCTGAGGAAAGGCAGAAATGGGGAAAAGAAAAGTACCTCTTTCTCATTCCTCTTGCGGATTTCAGTAAACTGATGTACATGTTTGTTTTCTTAGTTATAGTTCTTGGTTTATTTTGGTGGTTGTAGTAAACTGATCTAATAATTTCAACAGGTATAAATCTACCCCAAACCTGCGGAAAACATGCAGCAACCATTAATGATGCCACAACTAAACATAGCAGTCCTGCGCATGCCAACGAATCAACAGTGCCAGTGACACAAAGAACTCCAATGAAACAAGTCACTCAATTTGAGACAGAACAGGTAAATATGCCAGTTGTTCTCACAGAAAACTTACAATCCTTCCAGAGAAGTACTTTATGAGTTATATTTTGAGATTTAGGAGCATTTCATCCAGCGTGGGAAGTTAATTATTCTTGCTGAATGTTGCCCTCTCAATTGCGACATGCAAAGGCATATTTATAATTTCAGCCTCCATAGAGTTCATTGCCTTTTTCATAAGAACCAAAAAAATGAAACCCTGAGGAATATGCATATGACAAAATGAAGAATGTACTTTCTAGTGTGTTAGATTGTCAGACGACACTTGCAATAGAATATCGCTACCGGAGGAACCTTGGAACGAAAATTATAGACTCTCTTTTGAAAATATGAAGAAAAAAGTGGGTCTGCAGTCCCTTTGGGAACGCCGCGGCTCAGAGTT